ATTTGATGCACCAAACACGCTATGAATCTCTAATTTCAATGAAATTTGGAATGTGTAGCGGAAATTAAAACAAATATACATTTGTCAAATTATATTAAAATCGATTCAGATTTGGATATAGCTCTCATATATATTTTCGACCGATTTCATGTATTTTATGCACCATACACGATATGTATGTTCGATTCCAAAGAAATTTGGAATATGTAACGGGATTTTGATTAGAAAATAAATTAGTCAAATTATATTAAAATCGGTTCAGATTTGAATATAGCTCCCATATATATATTTTTCCGCCGATTTCACATATTTGATGCACAAAACACGATACGTATTTCCGATTCCAACAAAATACAAAAATAAATTTGACAAATTATATTCAAATACGCTCAGATGTGATTATAGCTCCCATATATATACTCAGCCGATTTCACATATTTGATGCACCCAAAGCGAGAGAGACAAAATCTGGCACCAGCAAAAATTGCCAAATTATATTGAAATCAGTTGAGGTTTGAATATAGCTAACATATATATTTCGGCCGATTTCATACATATTATGCACCAAACACGATATATATGACCGATTCCAATGAAATTCAGAATGTGTGGCGGAATTTGGTTATAATAATAAATGTGATAAATTAATTGGAAATTAGTTAGGTTTGGATATAGCTCCCATATATATATTCTCGGCCGATTTCACATATTTGACGCACCAATTTCAATGAAAAATGAAAGGTGTGGCGGAGTTTGGTGTAAAAGTAATTTTTTTAAAATTATATTTAAATCGGATCAGATTGGGATATGATTTTAATAAGAACCATTGACCCAAAACGCCTTAGGCTAACACTAAAAAACAACACAACAATTTATTTGAAATACGCTTATTACGGCGAAGTATGTTGCTATCTCGAATTCACTAACTGCAATAGAAATGCCACTCTACTTAAAAAAAATGCAGTTTCCTGCACGCTTGGTATTTGCTATGAAATAAATAAATCCAAAGGACAAATAAATCCAAAGGACAAATGTATGCATGTCATGTTACTGCTTTTGTAGTGATTTTGTTTATCAACGCATTAAAATAGTGCAATATATTTTTTTAAATTTTTAAATTTGTTTTCTTTATCCAACATATATTCGTAAATAAAATTTTGAATGCATATAAAATCAAAAGGGGTAGCGAAGCGCACCGGGTTCAGCTAGTATATCTTCTTCTATATCTATAAAAGAGGAAAATGTTTGTATGTTTGTTTGTTTGTTTGTTTGTAATTTATGGACTCGAAAACCGCTGAATAGATTTTCCTGAAAATTTCCATGTATACTGCAACATCGCCTGAAAGTAACATAGGCTATATACATTTTTGAATTTCCACTTGGAACTGGAGATATAGCATCAGAATCGGAGGTACCTCCCAAAAATTTAGATTTTATATGCACATATCTACTGATTGGTTGAAGATACAGTCTCCAAATTTGGAATACGTAACGGAATTTGGAACAAAAATAAGTATGCCAAATTATATTGTAATCGGTTCAGATTTGGATATAGCTCCCATATATATTTTCGACCGATTTTTTCATTTGATGCCTCAAACACAATATGAATGTTCGATTCCAATGAAATTTGGAATGTGTGACTGGATTTTGATTAGAAAATACATTAGTCAAATTATATTAAAATCGGTTCAGATTTGGATATTTCCGCCGATTTCACATATTTGATGCACAAAACACGATACGTATTTCCGATTCCAATGAAATTCGGCATGAGTGGCTAAATTTGGTACAAAAATAAATTTGACTAATTATATTCAAATACGCTCAGATTTGATTATAGCTCCCATATATATATATACTCAGCCGATTTCACATATTTGATGCACCCAAAGCGAGAGAAACAAAATTTGGCACCAGATAAAATTGCCAAATTATATTGATCAGTTGAGGTTTGAATATAATTAGCATATATATTTCGGCCGATTTCATACATGTTATGCACCAAACATGATATATATGACCGATACCAATGAAATTCAGAATGTGTGGCGGAATTTGGTTACAATAATAAATGTGACAAATTAATTGGATATTAGTTAAGATTTGGATATAGCTCCCATATATATATTATCGGCCGATTTCACATATTGGACGCACCAATTTCAATGAAATATGAAAGGTGTGGCGGAGTTTGGTGTAAAAGTATTTTTTTTTTTAATTATATTTAAATCGGATCAGATTGGGACATGATTTTAATAAGAACCATTGACCCACAACGCCTTAGGCTAACACTAAAAAACAACACAACAATTGATTTGAAATACGCTTATTACGGCGAAGTATGTTGCTATCTCGAATTCACTAATTGCAATAGAAATGACACTCAAATTCAAAAGATTGCAGTTTACTGCACGCTTGGTATTTGCTATGAAATAAATAAATCCGAAGGACAAACCCTTCGTGTATGTATGTCATGTTACTGCTTTTCTAATGGTTTTGGTTATTTACGCATTAAAATGGTGCAATATTTTTTTTTAATTTTTAATTTGTTTTTTTTTTAACCAACATATATTCGTAAATAAAATTTTGAATGCATATAAAATCAAAAGGGGTAGCGAAGCGCACCGGGTTCATATATATATATATATATATATATATATATATATATATATATATATATATATATATATATATATATATATATATATATATATATATATATATATATATATATATATATATTTATTTATATAAATATATATATATAAACGAAAGTTGTGTTAGTTACTACGCTTATAAATTAAGAACCGCTGGACTGATTTTAACGATTCATACAAATTCGGAATTGTCTCCTGTCCGAAAAGTATAATATCCAAAAAAATCGCGTAAAAATTAGATATTTTAAAAATTTCATTTTGACTTTTGAAATGTACAATAGTAATGTTTTATTTTGCATGATTTTTTTCTATTTTGACTTACTTTTTCTAATGTACACTTGTAGTGTTTTTTATATATTATATTTGAATTCGAATATTAATACCAATTTATATAGTTGACTTGATTTCGTGAGAGATGAAATCGATGGCGGGTTACATGGAAGTGTAGTACCGAATTATGTGGTGGCGGAACGGAATAGTTGATATCGAAATAATTTAACGCGGTCACACCAAAGTTAAAAGATAATTACTTTTTCAAAATCGCTAAAAAATCACGAAAAAGAGATCTCATTGCAAAAATTCTCAAATTGGGAAAATATTAAAAAAAGAAATTTTCTATGGAGTTGAGTTTTAAACAGTTGCTGTAAAAAATCAGCGAACAAGTTGAAGATTTTTTTCAATTTGTTATTCTTCTTTTGTCATTTTTTTCAATTTGTGTTATCATATTGAATTCAGTGGATTATTTTGTGAACAAAATAAAGAATAATTTTTCACTATATACAATTTTTCACCAAAAAAATGAAATAAGTGCGAAATACGATGTTATCTGACATCTACCTTTAAACTCCAGGTCCTACATTGTGCTTCAGCTGGAAGATGCGCACACATTTAAACAAACAAAAATGATCGAAAAAGCCTAATGGAGCTCATTTCAAAGCGTGGACCTACTTCTTTCATGTGAATGAGAGCTCAAATTTTTGGGAGTACAATCAGTAAAATATCAAATATAAAGGGTGCAAAATAGTAGAGCGAATGGGACTTTTAGTAAGAAAAGGATTTTTATCCTTCCAGAAATTGTTCCCGAAGATTCAAGATACCTTAAATCGCTTTTGCAGGTCGTGTTATCGAGCATAACTCATGGATAAGGGTACAACCCGATTTCATATTTATATAACCATCGTATGATTTAAGCTATTTTTGGGGTCTTCGCCACTTTCTTCTATTTTTGGCCCATATTTGGCATCTTTGTTTCTAAGGGGGTAGAGAACCTCTTCGCATAAAATTTTCGGAGTAGGGCCCATTTTGTTCTTGACCACATCCATCAATTGATTTGGCTAAAAAATTGTATTTATGCTACCCTGGGGTAAGGAACCATCACGCAGATAATTGACCGTAGGAATTTACTTAAGTAAAGTCCCCACATTAGAGTATCCCCAAGTCCACTTTCACATCTAATGTGTGGTCAGAAAAGAAAACTTTGTATTCTATTGAATTTGTAACCCCCAAGAGAATATTGGTTGGGAACGTAGATTTCGGATATACATCTATATGAAATAAATTGGGAAAATATGAACAAATTACAAATATAAGAAGGTAGCAAGTATTTGTTGAATCGCAATTAATTTATACTATGATGAAAAATATGGACTTTATGGGGTCTCCAACTTACAATTTAAATGGCAAATAAAATTAATTCCCTTCTTACGGTAACAGTAATTATATTTGACAATTCTGAAATCAATCTGCCCTCAATTATGAGGTGGATAAAACTATTTTTACTTATTTAAATCACGTGTTTTTTTAGTTTGACATGCTATGCTGTTCTGCTATATTTTTGATTTGGCCTCTATTTGTAATCTTGGATTATAAAGGGTGAAGAATGTTTTCAATGTAGGTCGATGTTTCGCAGTAGTTCCCATATAAAAGTACCTCCTGATTTTTCCATATTTCAAAGTATTTGGCTAAAAATATGTATTTAGGGGTGAAAATCTTACACAAAAATTTCAAGTCCACCTTTTGGCGGACAAACAGGGGCCGGTCCAGGTAGTATATATATATATACATATATATATATATATATATATATATATATATATATATATATATATATATATATTTATATATATATATATATATATATATATATATATATATATATATATATATATATATATATATATATATATATATATATATATATATATATATATATATATATATACATATATATATATATATATATATATATATATATATATATATATATATATATATATATATATATATTTACATATTGTGGCATGTTAGCTAGTGTAGCATATGAGTTCTAAATATTACGATTAAGCTAAAACAATCAATTGTAATTACTCTCGTTTGTACGTAGGTAGAGATGAGCCGATGGGTGTATGTTCGTGTGTGTGCTTATTTGGGCTACCTAACCACAAGACGAGTTTCAGTTTGGGTTTGACAACGAACAACCACGGACGTCTTGTCATCTCTACGCTCGTACTAACGCATAAACGAAAGAAAATAAATAAAAAGGAGCGGACAATTGTGGATTGATTTTTAATAAACTGTAAACGGCGATACTACATCGGAAGTGGTTGTTACCCATAATTGAATAAATAAAAATTTGGTTTCAAAGTTCAAATTAAAAATGGAAGACCAACAACATAATCTCGGTACAAATTTATTGGAATACATAACTGTATGAAAAAACAAATTTAGAAAATGCTATGTTGCGATCAAAAACAATTATTGCTGTGCCGTTAGACAGCGAAGAAGAACAAAACGGTGACGTAGAAGAGGAAGAACTTAAAACAGTTGTTGGTGGTGTGCCCGATGGAAACAAAAAGTTACAGTCTGAAAATGAAAAAGTACAGTCGAGTCTTGCAGCACAAAAACCCTTAGAAAAACATATTGACAAAAATTCCGAAAACGAAAGAGAAAAACATACAGAATTCAAAATTACAGGCGGTGTTTTTGGTCCAGTTTCTATAAATTCGCCTAAAAAAGAAACGCAAATCATGGAGAAAGATAAAGTGGCACAGTTACGAGACAAGCAAATGGAACTGTTGCCCAAAGAAAACGAACTGTTGCAGAAAGAAAAAGAAATTATGCAGGGTGAAAATGACTTGCTGCGAGATTTATTTGCTTCGAAACTTGAGGGCAGACCATTGAGTTGGCTGCATTCACGTCGCGGTACGGCGACCGAAGACATTACAGAAACATTCAGTCAGTTTTGTGTCATGTTTGGATCAAAAGAGAGCAGATTAGAGCTCCGCCGAAAATTTGAGCGTGGTGTCTGGCGTCAAGAAGAGAATTTTATGGTCTACTACAATGGAAAAGTTGAGTTGGCAGAAAAATTAAAAATGGAGGAAGACGAGTTGCTGGAATATGTTATTGATGGCATATCAAATACTCACCTTCGCAGACAGACAGTACTGCAACACTACAATAACTTTGCAGAGTTATGCAAATCGCTGTCGACTATAAAATTACCGAAAGCAGTGGATGCAGACCACGGTGTAGCGGCTAACAAATTTAGTGTCAGATGCTATAATTGTAACAGTTTCGGGCATTATGCAGCTGACTGTACCAAACCGACAAGAGAACCGGGTACATGTTATGCCTGTGGAATCAGCGGCCACACCGTCGGCTCTTGTGACAAAAATAAAAAGAGAGAGACACCAAAAAATGAAAATAATTATGTAAGTTATTTTAACTTTAGCTTTAATTCTAGTGATAACATTAAATTTTCTTTAGAAAGCCTAATTGATACGGGTAGTTCAATTAGCCTGATACGAGAAGATGCATTGCCAGCAGGAACCAAAATTTTGCCTTTCACTAATACTGCCTTTCATGGCTTGAATTATTCTTTGTTGAAAACGTATGGATATTGCTTTTGTTTCTTGAAGTTACTAAATAAATGTTTTGAACTTAAATTGCTGGTAGGTGATAAAATGTCTATGAAATACTCGGTGTTGTTGGGTCGGGATTTTTTGGACAAAACTCAGAGCAGGTTGTTGTTGTTGCTGTTTGATGATAGGCTTGATTTAAAACCAAAACAAGGCATTATGCAAACATTGGAGTTAGTCGACAATTTAACACTTACCGAATCAGATTTAGAACAAGAACGTTTAAAGTTTGAGAACGATATTTTAGCAATAGATATTTCGTCAAATTATACAGATTTCAATTTAAGAGTTGGTGATGATATTTGCCAAGATACGCTGACAGAATTAAATATTCTCTTTAAAGAAACTTATGTAGATATGGTACGTCCGGAAGTACCAGAAATACATTATGAAATGAAGTTAATACTTGAAAACTCGAAACCTTTTAATTGCCCTCCGAGACGACTATCTTATTCAGAAAAACAAGAATTACAAAAAATATTAGATGACTACTTGCAGAAAGGGATTATAAGGTCTAGCGAGCCGGAGTATGCCTCACCTATAGTTTTAGTGAAGAAAAAAACCGGTGATTTACGAATGTGTGTAGATTTTAGAAAATTAAACAAAGTTACGGCTAAACATAATTATCCGATACCGTTGATTGACGATCTTCTAGAGAGTTTAGCAAACAAGAAAATATTCACAAAACTAGATTTGAAGAATGGTTTTCATCACGTTTTTATGAACGAAGATCCTGTAAAATATACAGCGTTCATTACACCACTAGGACAATATGAATTTTTACATATGCCTTTTGGATTGAAAAATGCCCCTTCAGTTTTTCAAATGTTTATAAACAGTGTTTTCAAGTACCTTATTACATCGGGAGATGTCAAGATTACTTAGACGACGTTATGATTGCAACTTATGACTTCGAAAAACATTTAGAAATAGTTAAAGAAGTTATGTTGAGATTAGTGAAAAATAAATTGGGGGTACGTTTAGATAAGTGCGAATTTTTTCGAGCCAGCATAAAATACTTGGGATATACCATAGACAACATGGGCATACGGGCTGATGATAAAGGGTTAGAAGCCATAAAAAATTTTCCTCTACCCAATAAAGTTCGGGCTATACAAAGCTTCCTTGGCCTTTGCTCATACTTCAGACGTTTCATTAAAGATTTTTCGATTTTGGCAAAACCACTTTACGATTTAACTAGAAAAGATAAAAGTTTCAGTTTTGGGAAACTTGAGCTCGAAACATTCGAATTGTTAAAGGGAAAAATCTTAGACTCGCCAGTCTTAGCCTTATATGACCCGTCAGCAGAAACAGAACTCCACTGCGATGCGAGTGCGTTAGGCTTCGGTGCTATACTTATGCAAAAACAAAAAGACAAAAAATGGCACCCCGTTTTCTATTTTTCTAAAAGGACTACAGATGCAGAGTCAAAGTTTCATAGCTACGAGTTAGAGACTTTAGCAATAGTTTATGCACTTCGGAGATTTCGTGCGTACTTGTATGGCAAAACATTCAAAATAATTACCGACTGCAATTCATTGACCTTAACTTTAAATAAAAAAGAGTTAAACCCAAGAATCGCTAGGTGGGCGTTAGAGTTACAGAACTTCGACTACATTGTTGAGCACAGAGAAGGACGTTGTATGCAGCACGTAGATGCTCTAAGTCGATCGTTAGATGTTATGATTGTGGACACTAATACCTTTGAAGAAAATTTAATTATAGCCCAAAACAAAGATTTAAAAATTATTAAAAATAAAGAATAGTTACAGACTTCAGACCATAAAAATTACGAAATGAGGAATGGTGTTCTTTATAAAAAACTTAAAACTGTTAAATTGATTTTCGTTGTTCCTGCTCAAATGGAAACCCATGTTTTGTACAGGTACCATGATGAGATGGGACATGTGGGCATTACCAAAGTTACAGACCTAATATTAAAACTTATTGGTTTCCACATATAAATAATAAAGTAAAAGATCATGTACAAAACTGTTTAAAGTGTATAACTTTTTCACCTAAAAGCGGTCCCATAGAAGGATTTCTACATAACATCCCCAAATCGTCAAAACCTTTTAAAATGGTTCACATAGACCATTGTGGACCAGTAGATAGAAACAGTTCAAAGAAACATATATTTGTAGTCATCGATGCTTGCACTAAATTTGTTAAGTTGTATTCCACAAAAACTACCGCCACTAAAGAAGTAATAAAAGCTTTACGATAATATTTTAGATACTACAGCCGATCGCGATATATTGTGTCTGATAGAGGGTCGTGTTTCACTTCGAGCGATTTCAAAAACTTTCTTGAAGAAAATGACATACAACATATAAAGATAGCAACTTTTTCACCAGAAGCTAATGGACAAGTAGAACGTGTTAACAGATCCTTAGGACCAATGATTGCAAAACTTATAAGTACCGAAAATATAAATAAATAAAACAACCGGTGTAGAATAAAAAAGGTGATTACGTTGCAATAAAAAATGTCGATAGCAGTGTTGGGGTGTCCAGAAAATTTACGCCAAAGTCCAAAGGCCCCTGTGTTATTAAAGAAGTTCTGGAAAACGATCGTTATGTCGTACAGGATGCCATTACCTTATGGAATTTTACTTTTACTTACGGTATTCGAAACTTTATTTTGTGCAGTTGAATGGTCTATAATTAATTAACTATGTCGTGAAAATCGGGATTTACCGTTATTCAATTGATCAGCTCCTCTATGCCTATGTTTTATATTATGTGCCGCCCATATTCCTTTATAAGGTATTCTGCTATGCTATGCTATGCATCCTGTACGACATAACGATCGTTTTCCAGAACTTCTTTAATAACAAAGGGGCCTTTGAACTTTGGCGAAAATTTTCTGGACACCCCCACACTGCTATCGACATTTTTTATTACAACGTAATCACCTTTTTTATACTACACCGGTTGTTTTCTTTTGAGGTCTGCATAATTTTTATTGTACTGTTGTGCGGCTAGTTGTTTTTTATTCGCATCATCTCTAATTGAATTTAAGTCTCTTGTGTCTGGTTCCACCACATTTTCTTTAATTTTATCTGAAAATTTACCCCGTTGGTTGACACCAAATAACATAACGCTTGGATGTTCATTTATCATTCTATTACATGTGTTATTTATTGTAAATTCCACGGTTTCTAACGTTTTTTCCCAAGTGATATTATTTTCTGTACTTATAAGTTTTGCAATCATTGGTCCTAAAGGTCTGTTAACACGTTCTACTTGTCCATTAGCTTCTGGTGAGAAAGTTGCTATCTTTATATGCTGTATGTCATTTTCTTCAAGAAAGTTTTTGAAATCGCTCGAAGTGAAACACGACCCTCTATCAGACACAATATATCGCGATCGGCTGTAGTATCTAAAATATTCTCGTAAAGCTTTTATTACTTCTTTAGTGGCGGTAGTTTTTGTGGAATACAACTTAACAAATTTAGTGCAAGCATCGATGACTACAAATATATGTTTCTTTGAACTGTTTCTATCTACTGGTCAACAATGGTCTATGTGAACCATTTCAAAAGGTTTTGACGATTTGGGGATGTTATGTAGAAATCCTTCTATGGGACCGCTTTTAGGTGAAAAAGTTATACACTTTAAACAGTTTTGTACATGATCTTTTACTTTATTATTTATATGTGGAAACCAATAAGTTTTATTTATTAGGTCTGTAACTTTGTTAATGCCCACATGTCCCATCTCATCATGGTACCTGTGCAAAACATGGGTTTCCATTTGAGCAGGAACAACGAAAAGCAATTTAACAGTTTTAAGTTTTTTATAAAGAACAACATTCCTCATTTCATAATATTTATGGTCTGAAGTCTGTAAATTTTCTTTAATTTTAATAATTTTTAAATCTTTGTTTTGGGCTATAATTACATTTTCCTCAAATGTATTAGTGTCCACAATCATAACATCTAACGATCGACTTAGAGCATCTACGTGCTGCATACAACGTCCTTTTCTGTGCTCAACAATGTAGTCGAAGTTCTGTAACTCTAACGCCCACCTAGCGATTCTTGGGTTTAACTCTTTTTTATTTAAAGTTAAGGTCAATGAATTGCAGTCGGTAATTATTTTGAATGTTTTGCCATACAAGTACGCACGAAATCTCCGAAGTGCATAAACTATTGCTAAAGTCTCTAACTCGTAGCTATGAAACTTTGACTCTGCATCTGTAGTCCTTTTAGAAAAATAGAAAATGGGGTGCCATTTTTTGTCTTTTTGTTTTTGCATAAGTATAGCACCGAAGCCTAACGCACTCGCATCGCAGTGGAGTTCTGTTTCTGCTGACGGGTCATATAAGGCTAAGACTGGCGAGTCTAAGATTTTTCCCTTTAACAATTCGAATGTTTCGAGCTCAAGTTTCCCAAAACTGAAACTTTTATCTTTTCTAGTTAAATCGTAAAGTGGTTTTGCCAAAATCGAAAAATCTTTAATGAAACGTCTGAAGTATGAGCAAAGGCCAAGGAAGCTTTGTATAGCCCGAACTTTATTGGGTAGAGGAAAATTTTTTATGGCTTCTAACCCTTTATCATCAGCCCGTATGCCCATGTTGTCTATGGTATATCCCAAGTATTTTATGCTGGCTCGAAAAAATTCGCACTTATCTAAACGTACCCCCAATTTATTTTTCACTAATCTCAACATAACTTCATTAACTATTTCTAAATGTTTTTCGAGGTCATAAGTTGCAATCATAATGTCGTCTAAGTAATCTTGACATCTCCCGATGTAATAAGGTACTTGAAAACACTGTTTATAAACATTTGAAAAACTGAAGGGGCATTTTTCAATCCAAAAGGCATATGTAAAAATTCATATTGTCCTAGTGGTGTAATGAACGCTGTATATTTTACAGGATCTTCGTTCATAAAAACGTGATGAAAACCATTCTTCAAATCTAGTTTTGTGAATATTTTCTTGTTTGCTAAACTCTCTAGAAGATCGTCAATCAACGGTATCGGATAATTACGTTTAGCCGTAACTTTGTTTAATTTTCTAAAATCTACACACATTCGTAAATCACCGGTTTTTTTCTTCACTAAAACTATAGGTGAGGCATACTCCGGCTCGCTAGACCTTATAATCCCTTTCTGCTAGTAGTCATCTAATATTTTTTGTAATTCTTGTTTTTCTGAATAAGATAGTCGTCTCGGAGGGCAATTAAAAGGTTTCGAGTTTTCAAGTATTAACTTCATTTCATAATGTATTTCTGGTACTTCCGGACGTACCATATCTACATAAGTTTCTTTAAAGAGAATATTTAATTCTGTCAGCGTATCTTGGCAAATATCATCACCAACTCTTAAATTGAAATCTGTATAATTTGATGAAATATCTATTGCTAAAATATCGTTCTCAAACTTTAAACGTTCTTGTTCTAAATCTGATTCGGTAAGTGTTAAATTGTCGACTAACTCCAATGTTTGCATAATGCCTTGTTTTGGTTTTAAATCAAGCTTATCATCAAACAACAACCTGCTCTGAGTTTTGTCCAAAAAATCCCGACCCAACAACACCGAGTATTTCATAGAAATTTTATCACCTACCAGCAATTTAAGTTCAAAACATTTATTTAGTAACTTCAAGAAACAAAAGCAATATCCATACGTTTTCAACAAAGAATAATTCAAGCCATGAAAGGCAGTATTAGTGAAAGGAAAAATTTTGGTTCCTGCTGGCAATGCATCTTCTCGTATCAGGCTAATTGAACTACCCGTATCAATTAGGCTTTCTAAAGAAAAATTAATGTTATCACTGGAATTAAAGCTAAAGTTAAAATAACTTACATAATTATTTTCATTTTTTGGTGTCTCTCTCTTTTTATTTTTGTCACAAGAGCCGACGGTGTGGCCGCTGATTCCACAGGCATAACATGTACCCGGTTCTCTTGTCGGTTTGGTACAGTCAGCTGCATAATGCCCGAAACTGTTACAATTATAGCATCTGACACTAAATTTGTTAGCCGCTACACCATGGTCTGCATCCACTGCTTTCGGTAATTTTATAGTCGACAGCGATTTGCATAACTCTGCCAAGTTATTGTAGTGTTGCAGTACTGTCTGTCTGCGAAGGTGAGTATTTGATATGCCATCAATAACATATTCCAGCAACTCGTCTTCCTCCATTTTTAATTTTTTTGCCAACTCAACTTTTCCATTGTAGTAGTCCATAAAATTCTCTTCTTGACGCCAGACACGACGCTCAAATTTTCGGCGGAGCTCTAATCTGCTCTTTTTTGATCCAAACATGACACAAAACTGACTGAATGTTTCTGTAATGTCATCGGTCGCCGTACCGCGACGTGAATGCAGCCAACTCAATGGTCTGCCCTCAAGTTTCGAAGCAAATAAAGCTCGCAGCAAGTCATCGGAGAGTTTGCAGTGTTGTTGTAAATCACGAAGTTGTGTAATAAAAAAGGCTGCGTCTGCTTTGCCATCGTATACCGGTACAAAATTGCTCACCAAACCAAGAGGAACAGAATTGTCTACGGCCCGCAATCTGTCGATGTTACTGGACATTAATTTTAAAAAGTCATTTTCTCTCTGCATAATTTCTTTTTCTTTCTGCAACAGTTCGTTTTCTTTGCGCAACAGTTCCATTTGCTTGTCTCGTAACTGTGCCACTTTATCTTTCTCCATGATTTGCGTTTCTTTTTTAGGCGAATTTATAGAAACTGGACCAAAAACACCGCCTGTAATTTTGAATTCTGTATGTTTTTCTCTTTCGTTTTCGGAATTTTTGTCAATATGTTTTTCTAAAGGTTTTTGTGCTGCAAGACTCGACTGTACTTTTTCATTTTCAGACTGTAACTTTTTGTTTCCATCGGGCACACCACCAATAACTGTTTTAAGTTCTTCCTCTTCTACGTCACCGTTTTCTTCTTCGCTGTCTAACGGCACAGTAATAATTGTTTTTGATCGCAACATAGCATTTTCTAAATTTGTTTTTTCACACAGTTCTGTATTCCAATAAATTTGTACCGAGATTATGTTGTTGGTCTTCCATTTTTAATTTGAACTTTGAAAACAAATTTTTATTTATTCAATTATGGGTAACAACCACTTCTGATGTAGTATCGCCGTTTACAGTTTATTAAAAATCAATCCTCAATTGTCCGCTCCTTTTTATTTATTTTCTTTCGTTTATGCGTTAGTACGAGCGTAGAGATGACAAGACGTCCGTGGTTGTTCGTTGTCAAACCCAAACTGAAACTCGTCTTGTGGTTAGGTTGCCCAAATAAGCACACACACACGAACATACACCCATCGGCTCATCTCTACCTACGTACAAACGAGAGTAATTACAATTGAGTGTTTTAGCTTAATCGTAATATTTAGATCTCATATGTTACACTAGCTAACAAACTATAATTATGCCACAATATATATATATATATATATATATATATATATATATATATATATATATATATATATATATATATATATATATATATATATATATATATATATAATTTACTGTATTTTGTACACCTCATAATTGAGGGCTGAATGATTTAAGAATAACCAAAGTTAATTACTTTTTAAAACCCATTTGCACCTCATCTTGTGCATTAGAGTTCTCATAAGTTCTCCTAACCATGTCGGTCTGTTTGTCCGCCAAAAGGTGGACTTGAAATTTTTGTGTAAGATTTTCACCCCTAAATACATATTTTTAGCCAAATACTTTGAAATATGGAAAAATCAGGAGGTACTTTTATATGGGAACTACTGCGAAACATCGACCTACATTGAAAACATTCTTCACCCTTTATAATCCAAGATTACAAATATAGGCCAAATCAAAAATATAGCAGAACAGCATAGCATGTCAAACTAAAAAAACACGTGATTTAAATAAGTAAAAATAGTTTTATCCACCTCATAATTGAGGGCAGACTGATTTCAGAATTGTCAAATATAATTACTGTTACCGTAAGAAGGGAATTAATTTTATTTGCCATTTAAATTGTAAGTTGGAGACCCCATAAAGTCCATATTTTTCATCATAGTATAAATTAATTGCGATTCAACAAATACTTGCTACCTTCTTATATTTGTAATTTGTTCATATTTTCCCAATTTATTTCATATAGATGTATATCCGAAATCTACGTTCCCAACCAATATTCTCTTGGGGGTTACAAATTCAATAGAATACAAAGTTTTCTTTTCTGACCACACATTAGATGTGAAAGTGGACTTGGGGATACTCTAATGTGGGGACTTTACTTAAATAAATTCCTACGGTCAATTATCTGCGTGATGGTTCCTTACCCCAGGGTAGCATAAATACAATTTTTTAGCCAAATCAATTGATGGATGTGGTCAAGAACAAAATGGGCCCTACTCCGAAAATTCAATGCGAAGAGGTTCTCTACCCCCTTAGAAACAAAGATGCCAAATATGGGCCAAAAATAGAAGAAAGTGGCGAAGACCCCAAAAATAGCTTAAATCATACGATGGTTATATAAATATGAAATCGGGTTGTACCCTTATCCATGAGTTATGATCGATAACACGACCTGCAAAAGCGATTTTAGGTATCTTGAATCTTCGGGAACAATTTCTGGAAGGATAGAAATCCTTTTCTTACTAAAAGTCCCATTCGCTCTACTATTTTGCACCCTTTATATTTGATATTTTACTGATTGTACTCCCAAAAATTTGAGCTCTCATTCACATGAAAGAAGTAGGTCCACGCTTTGAAATGAGCTCCATTAGGCTTTTTCGATCATTTTTGTTTGTTTAAATGTGTGCGCATCTTCCAGCTGAAGCACAATGTAGGACCTGCAGTTTAAAGGTAGATGTCAGTTAACATCGTATTTCGCACTTATTTCATTTTTTTGGTGAAAAATTGTATATAGTGAAAAATTATTCTTTATTTTGTTCACAAAATAATCCACTGAATTCAATATGATAACACAAATTGAAAAAAAAAAATGACAAAAGAAGAATAACAAATTGAAAAAAATCTTCAACTTGTTCGCTGATTTTTTACAGCAACTGTTTAAAACTCAACTCCATTGAAAATTTCTTTTTTTAATATTTTCCCAATTTGAGAATTTTTGCAATGAGATCTCTTTTTCGTGATTTTTTAGCGATTTTGAAAAAGTAATTATCTTTTAACTTTGGTGTGACCGCGTTATATTATTTCGATATCAACTATTCCGTTCCGCCACCACATAATTCGGTACTACACTTCCATGTAACCCGCCATCAATTTCATCTCTCACGAAATCAAGCCAATTATATAAATTGGCATTAATATTCGAATTCAAATATAAAATATCAAAAACACTACAAATGTACATTAGAAAAAGTAAGTCAAAATAGAAAAAAATCATGCAAAATAAAACATTACTATTGTACATTTCAAAAGTCAAAATTAAAATGTTAATATATCTCATTTTTATGCGATTTTTTTGGATATTATACTTTTCGGACAGGAGACAATTCCGAATTTGTATGAATCGTTAAAATCAGTCCAGCGGTTCTTAATTTATTTATATATATATATATATATATATATATATATATATATATATATATATATATATATATATATATATATATATATATATATATATATATATATATATATATATATATATATATATATTAATCTGCACTGATTTCAATATAATTTGGCAAATTTATATAGCCAATGTTATCAGTTCACAGTGCAATTTAACAAATTTATATAACCTTTGTTATTTTCAGGCGAAGTTGTAGTATACTTTATATATATATATATATATATATATATATATATATAAATTAGATTTTTAATAACATAGGCTATATAAATTTCCCAAATTATATTGAAATCAGTGCAGATTAACAAATATACAAAATCTGGTACCAAAAAAAAAAATTGGCAAATTATATTGAAATCGGTTGAGGTTTGTGTAAAGCTTCCATATGCACCAAACACGATATATACGACTGACTCCAATGTGGCGGAATTTGGTTACAATATTCTCGGCCGATTTCACATATCTGATGCACCAATTTCAATGAAATATAGAAGGTGTGACGGAATTTGGTGTACAAGTACTTTTTGTCAACTTATAACTCGATTCAGATTGGAATATGATTTTATTAAGAAGCATTTACCCACAGCGAGTTTGCAATGGTATTAGGCTAACAGTAAAAACTACACAACAATTTAATTGAGGACACGATTATTACGGGGAAGTATGTGGTACATTGAATTCTGTAATTGCAACAGAAATGCCACTCAACTTCAAAAGAATTGCAGTTTCTTGCACGCACGAAATTAATAAATCCTAAGGAAAAGCCCTTTGTGTATGCGGACTATATTTGTTCCATGTTCCTGATTTCACATAGCCAAATTTTGACTTTTGAAATATACGATTGTAGTATTTTATTTTGCATGATATATAAGTTAAAAAGCAGTAAGTTCGGCCGGGCCGAACTTTTAATACCCTCCACCATTTACAACGAATTTGGAAATTTTCAAAAAATAAAATCCTTAAAAAATTCTGTTAAAATTTTAAAAATACCGAATATAGCCGTTATGTTGGGGTCTATACGACGTGGACATACATATGCATTGTTTGTCATAAGCCATTACCATATTCAAATTCGAAACTGGACCCGCACCGACAATTTTCTGTCACAGACTGTAGTTCCCATAACGAACTTCAAATATCAAATTTTAAACAATTCCGGTTAATAATGTCGCTAAAATCATCAAAATACCGAACATAGCGAGGTGCCGTAATATGGGGGCTATACGAAGACGTGGACCTGCACAGACAATTTTCAGTCTTAGGGTGTAGAATCCATTTGGAACTTAAAATACCAAATTTGAAACAATTCCAGTGAATAATGTCGCTAAAATCATCAAAATACCGAATATAGGGAGGTACTGTTATATTGGGGCTATACGAGGACGTGGACCTGCAAAGACAATTTTCTGTCTTAGGGTGTAGTATCCATTTGGAACTTCAAATACCAGATTTGAAACAATTCCCGTGAATAATGTCGCTAAAATCATCGAAATACCGAATATCGGGAGGTACCGTTATATGGGGGCTATACGAAGACATAGACTTGCACAGACAATTTTCTATCTTAGGGTGTAGTATCCATTTGGAACTTCAAATACCAAATTTGAAACAATTCCGGTGAATAACGTCGCTAAAATCATCAAAATACCGAATATAGGGAGGTACCGTTATATTGGGGCTATACGAAGACGTGGACCTGCAAAGACAATTTTCTGTCTTAGGGTGTAGTATCCATTTGGAACTTCAAATACCAGATTTGAAACAATTCCCGTGAATAATGTCGCTAAAATCATCAAAATACCGAATATCGGGAGGTACCGTTATATGGGGGCTATACGAAGACATAGACTTGCACAGATAATTTTCTATCTTAGGGTGTAGTATCCATTTGGAACTTAAAATACCAAATTTGAATCAATTCCGGTGAATAACGTCGCTAAAATCATCAAAATACCGAAGGTAGGTACCGTTATATGGGAGCTATATGAAAACGTGGACCTACATGGCCCATTTACGAACTTAACCTGCCTACTGGAAAAATAAACATGTGTGCAAAATTTTAGCCATCTATCTCAATTTATTCGAAAGATAGCGTGATTACAACAAACAGACGGACAGACAGACAGACAGACAGACAGACAGACGGACAGACAGACAGACGGACATCGCTAAATCGACTTAGAATTTTACGCTGATCAAGAATATATATACTTTGTTGGGTCTGACATGAGTATTTCGAGTTACAAACGGAATGACAAAGTTAATATACCCTCCATAGTATGGTGGAGGGTATAAAAATGACCGACAAATCGTTATGGGGCTCATTTCAAAACTCAGATCTACTTCTTCTGTATGACAATAATCCGTCCAATTAGAACTCAAAATGCAGAATTCATTAAGACTGCAATCAGTAAAATACCGAATATTAAAGGTGCCAAATAGTAGAACGAATTGGACATTTAGAAAGAAAAGGATTTCTTCCTAAACTTTCAAGATACCTTAAATCGCATTTGCAGGTCATAATATGGGCGCTTGAATAAGGGTACAACGCGATTTCAAGTATATTTTACATTTTAACCATATTTTTATATTAATTTCGGCAGATATTGGTAATTTGAGAAGAAACCTTCCTTGGCCACATTTTTATTTTTTGGCCCCTATTTGGCATCTTTGTTTGTAAGGGGCTAGAAAATTTCTTCGCATACAATTTTTAATATTCGGAGTATGGTCCTTCTTGGTCTTGACCATATTCATCAATTGCCATCTTACAGGTAATTGTCCACATAGGCATTTATTTAAGTGTAGTCCCCACATTATATGTACCC